TTTTTTTTTTTTTTTTTTTTTGTCTTTCTTTGATCTTGGCTGTGTTGCCCAAGCTTTGTTGTCCTGGGCTGCAGTGATAGCGCTAGTACCTTAGCCTCAGAGGGTTGGGACTAAAGTGTGTCACTACATCTTCCTTCTTAATCCCCCTTAACCCCGCTTTAATGTGTAAAGTTGTCGATGGATAGCAGACTGAGTTGTAAAGGCACAGCACTTCATCTTGTGTAACCTGAGGAGGAAAAGCATCCATTTTCTATCCTGAGACTAGCTGTCATTATGGAAGCCTTTGCCCCCAGCATTTCCATCTCTGTGTACTTGGCAATAGGCAGATAATATTAAACTTGAAAAAATTGAGGAAGGTGTGTAATTTTAAAATTTAAGTGTTAGATTTTTGCTATATAGCAGAAGTTTCTGGGTGCTTTTCTGACCATAGTATGGATGATAAGATCCCTCTAATCCTTTTCTTTCAAGAAAATTTCCCAGCTTTGTCATACTGAGGAGTGGGGCTGCTCACTCCTGGGACTGTAAGGGAATATCAGACTATGGTAGCCCTGTTTGCTTCTGAAGACCAAATATTTCTGGTACACTTGAGAAGAAAAGATAGTTATCTGGTAAATCATTCTGTAGCACAATAATTTCTTGTGTTGTGAGTGGAGGACAAAGAAGTATTCAGAATGCGCAGGCCTTTGCTCCCTCAGTGGGTGGGGCTTGGAGGTACTTCTCTTTCTGTTAAAGTGGCAGGTGCTGGTTGTGTTGAGTTGACTAAGAATTCAGAGAAATGAAGGAAAGCGTGGAAACTCTAACTCAGACTAGATTCTTTCTTACAGAGCTGTAGAAAGGTAGGCTAGATTTTCTTGTCACTTAGAATTGGCGTCTACAGATAGAGGCAGGACACAATGTTGTTAATGATGTCATGACACTTAGAATTGGTGTCTACAGATAGAAGCAGGGCACAGTGTTGTTAATGATGTCATGACACTTAGAATTGCTGTCTACAGATAGAGGCAGGACACAATGTTGTTAATGATGTCACTTAAAGAAAACTGGCGCCATACTTCTTCCATATAAAGATGTGTAGGTGAGGATAGTCTCCCTTAGCTCAGCAGCTGCTGTGGCTGTGTAGCTGTGGGTGGTGTTTAAAGGTGCAAGCTGGTGCTTGTCCTGCTATTTCTGCAGGGCATGGGAATGCTGCCGTCATCTTGTGGGCAGACATTCGATAGCGTTTATGCTTTGTTCCTTAGGCTCCCAGTCTTTACTATAGTGTTTTATGGCTTCTTGTATTAGCAGAAAGAAGTTTCAGTTTTTCTGGTAAGGGAGATTTCAAAAATCTTTATTTCTCTTTTATATGCCCTTATAGTTATAGGAAAACAATTATATTTTTGACAACATTCATGTTTTTGGTCAGGTGTCACTGGCCCCAAACATGGTTTGTACCTAGCACCTGCAATACTGCTTACTAATAGCAAAGACGCTATTAGTAAGCAATCCTTGCATAGTATAAAATTAAGAAAGTACTGCTAACCCCCACTCCTTTTTTGAGTCTGGCCTCAAACTCATTTTCCTGCCTTGGTCTCCTCCCATCCCTTGGGAGACTACGAGAGTACATCACCCTATCCAGTTATGTTGTGTGTTCTTGAGGATGCTTTCTTGTTGCATATTTATTTAATTAAAAAATTAAATTTTCATCATTCTTTTATCAAAATAATAATAATTAAAATTTCTTCACAGTTTTTACTGGGCTTTTTATTTGTCCCCTCTGCTATTTCTGAGCTTCTACTCAGAGTGTAACAGCACTTGGTAGTTACAGCTAAAAAGATCTTGTCTTTTTGAACACATGTAGATTTGTTATAAATCTCTTACTGTAAGGTCCTTTACTTTGATAATACAGTAGAATCTGTAGGTTGTGTAGTCCAGATCTGATTATATGTGGCACTGTTTTGGGAGAGACAGGCGGAGATTATTAGAGCCTTCCGTACCAAGTAGTTTAGAATAAAGAGGTATTATTGTCTCTGTTGAAAACTTGGCAGTTGGTGAATGTTCTGTTTCATATTCTGAACCTGAAATTGCTGGGCTACATTTTCCTCTGATGACAACTTCCTCTGTTTTATCAATACCCTTATAAGGAAAATTCTTTTCCAAGTATTCAGATTTATTTTTAAAGGAATTTCTTTGTCTCACATTTCTAGCCTACATAATGTGAAATTCTGTCAGAATACCCATAGTTCTGTCTATACTGCTTTTCTTTGCTGTTGATTTCTAAGATTAATAATTATAACAATATAATTATGTTTAAAAAGAGAAAGCTACTAATTTTATATGTCAAGTGTCAACAAGTCCTTCCTTTTGAGTTTTTGCCAGTTTATAACTTCATTATTTAGAGTTCCTTAGAATTGATTATTCTTTCAGTTTGAGACATCTTTGAGATTAATATGTCTAAATTCCTGCATCTTTGCCTGTTTGTACTTCTTCACCACGTGGTGTGTATGTTTGTGAACTTACGTTTTCCTTCATATCTTCCTGACATCTGATCACAGGAGGAGGATTGATAAACTCTGTCATTAGATTCTTCAAGCAATGTCCTTTGGGGGATATATAGGGATTTGTGAACTCCTATTGAATATTTGTTGATTTAACAGTTGAGGAAATGTTACTTAATGCGTGCGTTATAACCTACAGAA